CTCCTACAGGAGGATCCATCTCTTCCCTCAGCTTGTGCCATGTCGCCACGTCTCGTTCCGCTGACCAGTATGTCATCTCTCCTTTAATGAAAGATGCCATCAGCTCACCCCTGGTCTTCCAAGCATAATAGCAAGCGGCGTCAATTACTTCATGTTTCTTTTTACGACCATAAGCCTCCAAAGATTTGATTCTAGCATTGAGCTGCAAAATCTGGGCAGATTGAGTAGAACTCTTGTCCTCCAACTCTTGAACTAACTTTGTATTCTTATCAAGTTTGGATGCCAGGGAGATCTCCTTTTTCTTCAATTCATCAACGGTTCTCTCTAGTAAAGAAACACGAGCAGCAGTGGCAAGGCTCGCCTGAATACTCTGAAGAAAACAAGACAAGTTAATCGAGAGTAAAGGGAAGAAATCTCACTAAGCATGGTGACTCGACAGCACCTGAAACGCATAAGCAGAAGATGCAGCAATGACACTGGTAGGGGGCAGGCAGTCAAAAATAGGAGCAGAGGAAGCCAATTGGAACTGAGCCATTTCATCTTTCATGATCAGAGCGTCCTTCAAATCGCAGAATTCCGGGGAAAGCGATAAGTGCATGACTTGTGGTGGCATGGCCCGGATATCAATCCCATGTTCCACATTGGGAACATTAGGAGTTGTGGCAGCATCATGCGTCGGATACTTGGGGAGCTTTGGTGGATTTGCAGGCAATTTAGAAGGCATCCTTTTCCTCCTTGATGCCATGGCCAACAGCTCGTGATCAGAAGGAACGGAACAGGAAGTGCTTGATGAAGTAGCTAAACAAATAAGAGGAATAGGAGTGAGGGGTATTCAATTCGGCACTAATAAAGAAAAACGTAGGCCTCAGATAAAAAAAATACCTGCAATAGGAGTGGAATCCTTGATTGGGGGCACGGGAGTATTCTTAGCAATCGGAAAAACAACTTGTAAGGGGACAAAAGCGCTCGTGCCCTCACCATCATCTTTTGAAACTTTAGATCCTTGCCCTGAATCTTCTACGGAAACGACATGTGAATTCTGATTCAAATCGTGTGCGGTAGGAGTGTGCCTACGAGATCGCCTTAACCCCACATAATCAGACTCAACAGGAAGAGGCGACGTACCTTGATAATATGACACCAGGTTCACATAAGTTCGATCCTCAATAGGGAACGAAAGAATCTTAGCATTTCTCTCTTCAGAATGCAGACCGGGAACCAGTGGAATAGTCTTCCTTTCTGCGCAACACGAAGAAACAATACCAAGTATATTAAAGTTTATACATGTATCCAGACACACAGAAAGCCATCTGAAGTTACCCAACGCCATTACACACGCCCGAGGTTGTAAATCAAATAATGAAAAAAGGAAACGGAAAAGGATAAAGGCACACAGTCAACAGAACAAGTCAAGAAACGTGATTCGAGAGAGAAGCTAACCTTTATGTAAATTCTCCTCCAAGAATGATCCGTCAGCACCTAGCGACTCTTTGTTGACAAAAAAGTACAAATTCATCCATCCCCGGTCCTGAAGAGAGAGAAGCAATTAGCTTTGTCCACTTTGTGGATAAGAGCCTCCTTTCCTTCTTTCACTGCTAAGGTGAAACGACCGGCTCCTGAAGACCTAAGGTCGTAGGTGAATCCCAGGTCTTCGAAGTCAAGGGCCAAATTGTGTTTCTCGCTCAAGACCTCTAAAGCTCTGAGCACCCTCCATACTTGGGGCATAATTTGAGAAGGAGATACTTTGACGAAAGCAAGAAAATCTTGGACTAAACGTGAGAAGGGGAATTTCATGCCTATTTTGAAAGGATACATCAAGAAGTTTACCCATCCATCACAGAACCAGTCCATCCTCTCATTCGCTGCTGGAAAGCGGATAATCGCATCATGGGGAAAGCCGATGGATGATCTGATAAGTTCGACATGATATTCTGAAAGCTTCGCCTGTTTTGAGTTCTTTGGATCTAAGATGTGTTGCGGAATAAAGGGCTGAGAAGCCATGAAAAACCGAGGCACTGACTAGGGATTGCAAGAAGCTGAATAGAAGAAAAGAAGTTTTTCTTGCTGAGTGAATTAACTAAAGGAGGAAGGGATTGACGATTGATTGATCAATGCCAAATGACTGACGGCTTTACGCATTCCAAGGCGATGTCATGATGGTAGAAATTCAGAGAATCGGTTGGCTTTTTAAATTTTCAAATCTGACGCCTTCCTCCTCTCTGAATTAGGGGCAATTGTTGGGCTGAGAATTTGATAAATAAAATGGACCCATGTTCGTATAAAGATGCTGGAAGCCCGGACCGAAACTTAAGGAAGAGATAAATGCAACGAGACCAAGCCTAAGGTACGGGTAACAATAGTTGGATAACTCATGGCAACTAATTCCCTAACCCGACGGAGAAGGAGCTTAAATCGGAGAGGAGTTGGAAGTGGGAGACGGAAAGAGAAGAGTGCTAGTATAAATGTTTTGGGGGGCTTTAGCAAGAGAGAGATACCTGAGAAATTATTATCATTGTAATGCATTGATCATTATCAACATAAAGCTTATACATTTCGTATTCATAATCTTTGCATACTTTCATTGTGATTCTTGTACGACACCCCACATCTTTCTTTTGATTCATTGATTGTTTGAATTAGCATAAATATTGCTTAAACAGATATTTTAAACCAAATACATTATTTAGTTTTATCAGGTCTAGCAACACTGTGAATAAGAGGCTTACTAGAGGTCGCCAAAGGATTCATCTCACAGAGGTTGAAAATGAAACACATAATAAAAATAATTATGTTTGGGATAATGAAAAATAATTATGTTTTCAACGGTGAATTTTGTGCAGAGTAATAACATGGCATATAATGGAACCATTATTACAGTTTGGTTTGGGATAATGAAAAATAAAGACTAGCCATTTGATTAGCCAAGTGCAGCGTCATGGTGTCTTAGAATTATAGATTCCAAATCATCCAAATCATCCAGGAAGGAAATGTATTTAAATCCTAAAACATCTGAAAGAAATCTAATTTCTTCATTAAAATCTAAATATGTTTTAATAAACTGAAATGTAGAGAGTAACGTAGTTGATAATTTAATATATTTGAATTCCAAAAAATTATGAAATATAAATGATCGAATTGGTCGGACTAAAATAAAACACTAAATACAATGATAAAGTGATAGATATTTCTATTGTGCGAGTAACGAGAACCTATTCAATAGAATATGTAAAATACGAACACAAATCTAAAATTACAAAAGAACAATCCATTAGTAATTTAGTATATTAAAATTTCATATTTTATCTATTATATGTAAGAGTTTTTTATATAAATATTACTAATAGTAATTGGGTTTACATAAATGTGACTAAACAAACGAACACGTGCGCCATGCTCTTAGTAATGAATGAAAATGACTTGAGTGCCCTAAAACGGTTATGGAAAGGCTAAATCTCAGGAATTCCGGTGTATATTTAGCGGATAAACAGGTGGAAGCGTGTATTCATAACGTATGGAGGAGGGAGATAATTCATTCGAAGCCCAAAGCAGTAAACCACAGATTGAGGGTGCGAAGGTCAAGAAGAGGCTGATTTTGCATGTTGGCTCTCTGTTTATATTTTTCTTGAGCATGAATATGATGTCCTTTGGTTTACAATCATGAACCAAAGGAACCATTCTGAAGTTACAGTCATGAAGTGTGAATGAATTTTAATTTTGTGTACATCGGGACCGAAGAAACGTTTTGGTGTTACTGATTGTAATCGTCTTGTGTGTGGTGGAAGAAGTAATGAATTTTTAGTTTCTGATGTAGGTAATAATGAAATTGTAGTTCGGAGAACAAGTAATGAAGGATTAGTGTTTAAAGCAATTTTGTTGTAGTAATGAAACCAAAGTAATGAATATTTTTTTAAGGAAAAGAAGTAATCCAGGCCTTAGTGACTGGACAAGGTACTAATGAAATTGATTTGAATAGAAGAATTAATGTTGTAATGAATTCGTAGGTACTTAAATTATTTAGTAATTATTTAGTAATGAATGTAATTTGAGAAGAAGAAGTAATGAATTCTTAGTTACTAGATTTATTAACTAATGAAATAGTTTTGAGGAGAAGACGTAATGATGTAATGAATTCATATTTACTAGATTTATTTAGTAATGAGATTAGATTTAGGAGAAGAAGTAATGAACTAATGAATTCTTAGTGGTGGCATCAATTACAGGGTTTATTGGTAATGCGATTTACCAAGCAAGGACGTCAAAGTATTAAAATTCAAGGCGATAATTTCGATGGCAGTGAAGGCGAGAGTTTAGGTGGCGTTTGAGAACATAGGGACCGTTATGACAAGGGCACAAAAGGAATAACGAAAACGGGTTTTTATTAATATAAATAACAGATAATCTCTAGTAATATTTATGTAAGGGAGTTTTGAAGTGGTAATATTTATGTAATTTTTTCTATATGTAAATGGGCATAATTGATTAGAACTTGATGATTAAATAAAACACATTAGTAAATTATTATTGATATTATACATACTCATCTATACATATTTTAGGTTTTTGAATTAATACTTACCCCATTCATTTAGATTTTAATTGGGAAAGTTCCCGAAATAGGACTATAACAGTTTCAAAAATTCAAAATAGGACTGTCATGTTTTTTATTCCCAAAATAGGACTAATTATTGTCATGTTTAGAAAATACTGTCATGTTTGAAGTTTGGTACTGCCAAAACATGACAGTAATTAGTCATATTTTGGGAATAAAAACATGGCATTCCTATTTTGGAATTTTCAAACCGTTTTAGTCCTATTTTGGGTAATATCTCATTTTAATTTGATGTACTATAAAATTATAAAATCATTTTCAAATTTATTTTGGCAATATACCAACAAATTCGGCCATGTTCTTGCGAGTTTGAGATGATTCATTTGGCATTGCCCAGATGCCAGCAACTTATTGAAAGTTCAACGAAAAACTACTCAATGCATGTAAAAGTGTAAGAAAGAATAGACTAGATGAGTCTAGTAGGTAATTAATCCAAACTGAGAGGATATAGAAATCTTGGTCAATTTAATCTTTTCGTTTATAACCAGTACAAAAGTGGCTTCATAGTTCACATGCAGTGTTCATACTTGAGGGCAATAATATTAGAATTTGACCCCATATAACCCAAGTTTTGATCTTTACAAACAGAATGTCTGTCACGGTTAATAAAGTTGGGCCAGAGGCAGCAAATCTTCATTGCTTTATCTTCAACCAATCAACCTCTCCATCTTCATAAGAATCATTGACCGCTTCAACGTCCTTCAGAAAACCGAGCTTTATTCTTCTGGAAAATCTTCCTATTTCTGATATGCATGTTTATTACGTGGTATTAAAAATGAGTTTGATCAAGAATCAAAAGCTTCAAGAATCCCAAAGAGTTATTTTCAGAAGAAGAAGAAAGGAAAAACGGTTACCCTTCAGGAATAAGGCTTTGGCCTAGACTCATTGCTGAGAATTTGCTTGATAAGTCATAAAAGGATGCATCTGCAATTGCTTTTGCCAAGTTTGTGTTATTGCAGGCATCATAGTAGCACCCCCTAGCCTTAGAGTTTACCACCAAGTCCCTCCAAACAGAACCACTATTGATCATGGTTGAGCTATTTCCCAATACCCATAGGCAATATCTGCACAAAACCAAAAACAGTATGACACATTATTATACAAAGGAAAGCACACTCTAGTATTTTGATGTGCCACTCTAACTCATAAAAGATACAAACACACACATAAGATCTTGCACTCCTCTTCATATTGGGTTAATCTTTTCATATAGAATGTCAAGTGTTAATAGGATTTTTTACCCAAACAGACATCAAGATTGATTTATGGAACCCTACATCTTAATATAAACAATGCACTATGTACTAATGTACCTACCTAGCTCGAGTTAGAGCAACATTCGTACGCTGGAAGTTGGACAAGAAGCCGACTGATCCACCACCATTGGACCGCACAGTGGAGAAGATGATAACATCTTCCTCTCCTCCTTGAAAACCATCTACCGATCTCACATTCACTGAGAAGCGGCTGTCAACATCGGTGCTGTATTTTCTGCCAAGTTTTTGTTGGATGGCAAACACCTGCGCCTTGTACGGTGATATGCACCCTACGCGAACTCTTTGTTTTGAGGAAAGAAATTCTACCATCACCATTGAAAAAAGAGTACTCTTATTAAGAAAAAGATGATCAGATAACACTAATGTTAGATAGAGAAGTAAAAAAAAAAACCTTTGTAGAGCATAGCAATGATCTCGGCTACAGCAAAAACTTCTGCCTTGTTTCTAGTGCTGCAGCTTTCATCACGGTCTTCGCTTCCTCTTATGTTGATGAAAGAAAACGGTCCAAACATTTCTCCTTTGAGAAACCGCTTCTCGTATCCTGCCTTTGTTACATTAGTGCCATTAATCACCTTCTTCTCATAGAATTTCATGTTTGGGAACAAACTAATAGAGGGATGCATTCGGTATTGAATGTTAAGCAGGTACTTCTTGTGGCCTAACTTAACCAGCCTCTCAAACAAACTTCTACCAAACTCAGCCTTCTCACATATCTTGCTCTGGACCATCGCCGGCAGTTGCTTCTCATCTCCAATGAGTATGGCATGGCGCAGGCCAGATAGCTGCAAAGGTATAGTGGATTCGCACTCCTTAAGCTGAGCTGCCTCATCAACCAGCAACAGTTCTATTGGAACAACATCATCACTGCCAGATATAATACTGCACAGTTTGGATGAGCTTGAGGCAGTACAGAAAACCAAGAGTGATTTTTTAAGACAAAAATCCCGAATTTGATGCTTTCCATAAAAATTTGGCAGCTTAATGCTGCCACGAAGTGATTTTAAAAGAATGATACATCGAGATTTTGTTGACTGCAATGAATTAAAGTGATATTTCCACTTAAGACTACAAGAAGAAGCTCCAGTCCCCTTGAGCCAATCTTTAAGTTCACCATGGCTATTAGCAATCGTCAACAATGCTCCAAGAGATTGAAGGGAATCAAGTGCACCAATCATCTTCTTTACTACTTCCAAACTGATGTACGATGTGGGCAAATGAGTGCAAAAGGTTTCCACACAGAACTCTAATTGCTCAGCCAATGATTTATAAGTTTTAAAAAAGAATTCCTCAAAAGTCCAAAACTTTAAAGCCTGCTTTGTCACTACTTTATCATCAGTCCCGAAAGCCTTTTTTTTGCGAGAAGACTTGGCTTTGGTCACCTTTTTCTTCTTGTTTTCATTCACTGTCTGAATAATGAAGTTCTTCAGATTCTTGTTTAACTTTGGGGTTTTTGAGTCTTTATTTCTCATCTCCCGGCTAAAGCTTACCATTCCTCGTTCCTCCATTAGCTTCCCCTCATCATCACCATGATCCACTTCATTCTGCATTTCTGTTTGCAAGTACTTTGTATATGCCTCTTCAGGCTCTTCCAGCAAACTGATCATCCTTATCAAGCTAGATTGCCATCCCACAGAAGGTGTGATACAGCTAGCAAGGGCATCGACACGATAAGACAGAAACACATCCCACAGGTCTTCATGATCTTCAATTTTCATTCTTTCGCCATTACCAAACACGACAATGTCTCCTAAACCATAACAACTATCATGTTGAAGACTAAATTCCCTTATCAGTTGCATTAAGCGCTTTGCAACTCCTATGACTGCGATGTTAGTTGGCGCACAAGTCAAGGTTCTGCATTTCATGTTGTAAAGGACAGATAGCAAGGACGCAACCGTCTTTGTTTTCCCAGTCCCGGGTGGACCCCATATTAGCTTTACACTACTTTGGTGAGAACATTGTTTTGCTTTAACACAGTTCAAAATAGCTTCTTCCTGAGATTTATCTAAGCCAAATGACTGAATGTCTCCCTTAGCCTTCAACAGTATAGCATCTTCATTGCTGCCTTTTTGGGTACAAAAAGCACAAACTCCTCCATCCTGTTTGTGATTTAACTATAAATTAGTCCCAAAGGATATTTTTTTCATAAATTACAAACATTATACAGCAAACAAAAAAATAAACAAACCATATAAACACTTGTTCGAGGTTTCATCATAAAAGATCAACATATATATTTTGATTTGTAATTAACATCACGAAAGCTATGATATAATAAGGGCTTCCGTTCTCACAGCTACATAAACCTTATGTGTTGGTTTGTAATTTGATATTCAGCTGATAAGCGCTAAATCTTCTAACACCATATGGTATTATTAGTTTGTCTATATTTATTCAATGAAACACAAAGTGGGTAGGAAAAGAGAGAAACCTCTTACATTTGGACCCTTATGCAGCACTGTTCCTATAATGTTCATGTTTGTATTCGCCGGGTTGACATTCAGGGAATTCCATATGCGAATATTCGTTGTCAGATTAGTAAGGTAAACAATAAAAAGCTTGCTTCCTTTTCGTCTATCCTCCTCAAAAGATTTAAGGAATTCAATGGGCTTTGATGACAAAATGGGAAACCAATCAGATTCATCATCCTCTTCCTTTGCTTGCGCAACAGCTATGAGATAGGACAACTTTGGTCTGTTCAGGTCCTCAATGCGCCTTGGTCTCACATCAGAGAGAGCAATTAGATCACCAGACTCTGGTTTGTACGGCAGTACACGCATATCGTTACCCTCTCTACTTCTCTTTAACATAACTTTGTAGAACAGCTGCTTTGGAGGGTTAAAACCCTTTGATTTTTGTAGTTTTTTTACCTCACAAGCCGGAGCATTGTGTAGTGAGCTTTTCATGTTTGAGCACAAATCAGCACGCATTTCTTCGAGAAGAGGATATATAAATGAGTTCAGGTAATCATTTTCTGTCAAGAACGTTTCCGGAATTTCTTTAACCTGAAACAAATGGACAGACCACCTTACTATACAACCAAAGAAGAAAAAGTTCACATCTTTAATTTGTTCTTAAAAAACCCACTGCACTCATAGCAAATATAACAGATAGAACATATATTACTATACTTGTAGGATCAATACACCATATAGTATGCATCTTTTATGCTAAAAGTATGGTTGAAACAGTGCTAAAAAGGGAATAAAAGTAATAAATACTTCCTTCAGCATATTACTAGGTATATATCTTCACACATTTCTACTATTAAACTCACAATTGTTTTATAAGACTTGCTCAATCCTAAATCTAAAGCACTACTTGATAACTACGTTAATGTTTTCTTAAACACATAAAAGATCTTTTTTTAGTACATACCCTACAAGTATGGTTTAATAAACAAGAGTATAACATAAAAGATTGTTCTGGGAAGATAAAATGTTTATATTCAAATAATGTTTAAAGAAGATGATAGGCGCGCGGGAACAGTCTACCTTATCTCTGTACAAAGATTGGTTCATCACATGTTCTAAAGACCAAGAAAAAACTGCATTAATCAAGCCCTGCCCTTTGACTTTCTTCTCTGGGTTCTTCTTCTTTTTTGCAGCAAATTCCATTCTTCCTGGATGATCAAATGAATATATTCAAATAAAGTAGCTACTGCATTTTTTTCGATTATATGATGCATCAAAACTTAAACGGAAAGAAAATCCGTACTACCAAAATAAAGTGTTCTTATAAAAGGAAAGTGTGACTTGAAAAGGACCTCCACTCAGGTTGACGAGAAGTCAAGAATAAAACAGAACGTGTATCTGTAGCAAAAGCAAAGGTCGGTGAAGGGAAAAACTGATTTAACTTTTGAGTTTTAAGGAGAGTAAACCGTACGTACTATATATAAACAATAATTAAGGAATGAATGGAGAGGCAGACTAATGATGTCAGAAAGTTGGAAGCCATGGGTACGGACAACGGAATGGATGAAGAAGAAGAATGAATGATGTCGTTTCGTTTTAAGCGCCACCCATTCATTACAGACCTTTCACTAATTCTTTTGCAGCAGCAAATCACTGCTCCCAATAATTATACGTAGTAATAATTATATTATTAACAGATTCACTTCTTCTAATGAGCAGGCATATATTGAAGTTGCTGTTTTCACACACGAAACATATTTATGTCATTATTATTGTGATTATCATACTTGGGCTTAGCTTATCTCATTTTCTTTTTCTGAAAGAGCTTCTCTCATTTAATTAAGACATTTTTAAGTGGTAGATAAAGTCACACTGGACTAATTTTTACTATTTTAAAAGTAAGTTATAAGCTCTTGAGTCTATGTTTCTAGAGTACATAAAGTCACACTGGACTAATTTTTACGTAGTACTACCTCAGTTCCCGGTTTGACACAAAGTTTAAGATAGTAGATATTGTGTGGTGGAGAGTTGTGCAGAGGAGAGAAATGTGTAAGAAATGTTGTGAACCACAAATTCTTTACCAAAAAGGGAAAGTGGAAGTTTTAATTGGAACGAACGAAAAAGGAAAGTTGGAAGTTTATTTAGGAACGGAGGGAGTACTATTTTAAAAGCAAGTTAGAAGCTCTTGAGTGTATGTTTATAAAGTACATACACATAAATTCATATTCCTTCAAAATGTGTAATTGAAAAATGACACGATTATTTAGATAATATTTAAAGATGCTAATTCGAGTATATTTTTAAAAATAGTTTTGATGATTAAATTATTACATAAGAGTGTTAATTATTATTTTTATATATAAAATGAGAACCTTTAGTTGAGACGTGAGTAAAAGCACCGTGAGAACCTTTGAATGGGGCGAGGGTACTATTTAAAAAGTCTTTTAAAACTTGATGAATGTTAGGGGTGGACACACGGGTATAGAAACAGATGATCAGGTAATATAGGTTTGGTGCAGGTTAGGGCTTAGTAGTAATTTTAGAAAACCGAAACGGGGTGAGACAGGTACTAAAAAACGTAGGAACCGAATGTGGCTTAAAATTTGAAAAAAAAAAACGAGCACTCGGACCAACTTGTTATAAAATACTCCACATTAAAAAACCATACTATGCTTAATACTGCGTATAATATACTAACCCACATGTGATAACATTTTATGTTCTTGTGTCTATATGAAGACTCTCAATTGAAGAAAACTTGTGAGTATTAAAAAAAATAAAAAATCATATAAATTCCTAAATTATTATCCCTAATCCTCTTTCCTTTATTCAATCATTTTTACTGTTGATAAAAACTCTTGCTCAAATAAAGTGTGACACATTCATTTAAGTATCTTAATTAATTTTACTCACATTATGATATTTATTAAGTTTTAAATTATTCTCGTAGGCATATATGTATAATGACTAGTTTAAATTTTTAGGACTTTGTGATGTTACCTTTTTAGTTTATGAATGATGATGTCTAATTTTCTAATTTCACAATTTGGTGTTATTTAGTTTGTATGATTGATATTGTGTGCTATTTAATTTATAGATTTATAATTGTAAACATTTTGTTAACTAATTCAAAATATTGTTTTATATATTTATTTTGAACTTTTATTATATTATGATGGTGACTTTGATACTTGATTAGGTTGAAAATGTTACTCGGTTTAATAGATATTTTGCTAACAGAGCGTTCTCATAAACAGAAAACGAAAACCCGATTCAAACCAACCCGTTTCAAACAGGGCAGGTAAAGTCTGATTCCTATTTTGAGACTTTGTATACCCATACTGAGTCTACCCATTAAATAGAATCAGCGGTTATTGAAATTTTTTCAATCACCCGGACCGTATCCACCCCTATTGAGTGCTACGGTTCCTCACAAATAAATGAGAACATCTACAATAGATTTGATTGATTCAAATCATTATTTCATCATTTATTAATATTTAAATCGTTCAATCATAATATTCTAATTAATCTTGTAGATAAGGTAATGTACCTTGAGGACGGTAGAATTTGCATAAAACCTTTTAGTTGCATATTTGATACAACATGTAAGACCCAAATTTATAGAGTAGCAATAAATCATCTTCGGATCAATTATCTTATAACACTCATTTAACTTGTCATAATCAAATGGTTTCAAGTTTTATAAACAAAACAAACTTGAAAGTATCTTAAAAAACTTTCATGTTATCATATATTCATATCTACTTTATAATGAATTTACAGGAAAATATAGCATTACATGTAATTGTTACAAATATGGCAATATATGAAGCCAAATTTACTTTACTTTTACGTGTTACATGTATACTAGATTTACAATTTTGACAAAATATGAAGCCAATTTTGACAGTAAATCTGATTTCGTTAAAGATTCTGAATCACAAACTTCCATAAATATATTTTGTTCTTTGTGCAAATACTTTTATAGGAAAAATTGGTTCGAGTCCCATTTATAAAGTATGTTTATAGCTTGATTAGAGCAAAGTTCAAGCCTTTATTTTTATACATGCTTAAATGGGCAATCAAGTCATTCATAACCCGACACGTTATATACCCTTACATTTTAGTTCAAGAGTTGGGACACTTGTGGTTGTGTCTATTCGAAAACCGGGAACAATGATTTGAAAAGAAATGTGCACTTGTGGAGTCTAAAACGAATTCGAATATAAAATGAATTTTAATTTTGATTTCTGTTTTTATTCGTGTACCAGTACGAACAGTTAACGAATCATATATATTCGTGTATCAGTACGAACAGTTAACGAATCATATGTGAATATCGAATCGATTTGATCATAAGTTAAATATTGGTCAAATATTACTTTAAAACGGATTTTTGTGTATTTTTGTATGTTAGAAATGTATCCTCTGACTACTCAATATGTATTACGATTTTTTTTACATATTTCTTATTTAAGGTGTTGAACTGCTATATGTATAGTTCAATTCACTTGAATTTTTTATTTTTACTTTTAATCTCGGTTATAGTACAACTATATTGAACTATTAATTTTTTATTTGAAATAACTACACACACACATATATATATGATCAAAATAGAGATTGTTTACAATAATGTGATGAATGACTAGATTAGTGATGAAATTTTAGTAACTTATTTTCAATTTTTATATATAAGTTACCATAACATGACATTGTAGTAATTGTTAGTCATGCTTGCGTAATTATTTTAGTAATATTTTTGAAAATCCCCATTTTATTTATGTGTTATAATGATGTCTTAACTAATACATAAACAAAGTGTATGACACTAGGACCTCTCTCTCTCTAGGGTTACCGCCTCAAGTAACGCCTAGCGTTCGTATTCCGCCGTCAGCACTACCAGGGGCATCTGCCGCTGTTGGTAAGCCGGTTGGAGAGCGGGACTTTCTTCTACGAGTTCTTAGAGTGAAGCTTCGTGGTGTTGTTTGCGCGTGCGACCTTCTCTGGATTACTCGACGGAGGATTCACGAAGCAACGGGTTTCTATCTGCAACGAGTTTTACGAACCAAGGTGGGAGGGCAGTTCATGGAAGGCTTTGTTGATAAATATAGAAAAATGGTGCTTGAGGAAGAGGAGGAGGATCTGGATCTGGACGACACAGAGCCAGAGGAACCACCGGTGGAAGGAAACAAGTCGGGTTTTCCGGTGATAGGTGTCCTGTTGACAGACCGTAAGGTAAGATTTCCGGCTATTAAAGAGCTTATGGCTTCGTTATGGAGGCCGGACAAAGGTCTCTCGGTTAAAGAAGTCGGGGAAAAAAGGTATTTGTTTACTTTTTATCATCGTGTGAATATGAATCGTGTTCTAGAGGGAGGACCTTGGCAATTTGAAAGGAATCTGTTGTTATTAAAAGAAGTAAGACCTGATGATATTCCTCATAAAATTGTTTTGAATGAGGCAGATTTTTGGGTTCAAATCCACAATGTTCCCTATAGTCTTGTCAATTTAGGCACTGCCAGAAGGGTGGGAAATTTTATAGAAAAATTTATAAGATATGATGATAACCAAAATAGTGATAAATGGGAGGCCTATATGAGAATAAGAGTCTGTCTGAATGTGGAGAAGACACTGAAAAGATGTACTAATCTGAAAAAGGATGGTAAGAGTTATTGGGAGGACTTTAGATATGAAAAGTTACTCAAGTTATGTTTTATTTGCGGGTTAATTGGACATTTAGATAAATTCTGCCATTTAAACTATGAAGAAGGCTTGGTTCTAGAAAAGAAATATGGAGTCCAGCTTAGAGCTGGTAGTGGGGGGAAGACGGGCCCTACAGGGGAAAACCAATAGCTGTTGGAGGGTTCATCGAGCTCTGGCAAGGACCAAAGGTTTGGAGAGGGTAATCAGGTTCAGGGCAAAGGAAGAGAGTCAGCTGCAAAGTATAACATAGGGAGTGGGAGAAGAGGGCAAGGCTGAAACAGTAGGGGAACAGAAGAGAAGGAGGCTATGGGAGAAACAGGGGGAAGGACAGAATGGAAAAGATAATATGGCTCTGGATGAAACAAAAAACGGAGAGGAGGCGGACTTCGACCGGTAAGTCCGCCTAAGTGGATTCCTATGCAGAAGAATAAAATTTGGGTACTTGTGTAGATCGACATGCTCGGACCCCAACTCAAGTTTATTAGTTTTAGTTTTATTTTTCCTGATATTTCCTTTTACTTTGTGTTTTATTTGGTTTCGTGGTGTAAGAGACGTTTGATTTAGATTTGGGGATGAGAGAATTGGGGTAACCGTCTTTGGCTATTTTGTGCCCAGTAATGGATCAGCGAGTTATTTTGCTTGTGTTGAGGTGATTAACTCTGAGTCTGATTCGCGGGACGACGATTGTCAGAATTCTGTTTGTCAGATTACCCATAATCTAAATGTTGAGAATTCAATATAAACCTATTTCTTCCAAAAATAATGATATAACGTGTCTTTGCTATATGTTTCTAGTAGTTTTTTGTCTCTTTTGTATCTTAAAAGTTCTTATCAAGGAAACAAATAAATATTCATTTCCATTGTACCTCAGAGGAACATACATATTCATGAAATGTTTCACGCTCAACTTAAAAATTCAAATTAAGGATGTTTTTACTTGGACTGTAATGGACTAACCATTCTGTAGAGTCCGTATACCCTACAGTGGACTGTACGATACAAATTGTACAGCCGGTGGCAGTTTGGTAATTTAAGTGAAATTCATGACTTCATTTAAATGAGCACTAATGCACGTTTAATGATCATCAAATCTATTCTACTGAGTATTAAAAGTCTAATAATGAGTATTGTGATATCGACTTCATATCTTATAATTCACTTTTTTTCTTATTATTTAAAATATCTACAATGAACACATATCAATCCAATATGTGAATTTAATGTAATGTTATACTTTTGAAATATACATGAACATGATATTTTAAAATGAGTATTACACCAATACCAAATGCTCATACATAAATTACAAAATAAGAATTGAAAAAAATAAAAAATTTCATTTAAAATGTCTACTATGCTCATAATTTCATTTGTTATGCTCATATCTCACGAACTACGTATAACTTAGGTTTCTCTGAACTGCGGCCAACAGGTGACCAAATTCACTCACTGAACTTGGGTAAGAAAAGAGAAAAATGAAGAGTCCGAGGGAGGAGCAGCAACTAGGGCTATACACCAAAAGGAGCCGCCACTCAAGCCCAAGTTTGAGGAACCTCCGCTCGTGCTAGAGGATTGGGGCTGTCGAGAGTCATCTATGTAGGCGGAGAGCGAAGGACGAGAAACGAGAATGATCTGCGAGTTGTGATGGAAGCCTGTGAACTGCGATAGAAGTCCAGCGATCTGCGATTTGCAAACTAAAAGGCCGGTTGTACCGTGCGCACGGTACAACCCACTGTTCAATATAATTTACACCATTTTGAAATGGTTGTCAAAGTTTTTGAGATAATGAGACCACATAAGATACGCATGCGAGATCAAAGGGTAGGAAAGACACAAAGACAAATCATTGAAACTAAACGTTGGCCCCTGCAACATTTTAGTTTTTGGTTGGTTCAACCCAATAAGCTAAGTCAACCAAATATTTATGAAACACTAATTTCAGCTATTTATCTAGTCAAACTCATTAATGATGGTCAAAGAAGTCAAAAAATGGTTGATCAACCATTATCCAAACAAGGCCTTAATCTTTTTAAAGTTCATCATCATCATTACAATTACCCTAGTTTCTCAAAGGCTACCTTCTTCGATGGAATAAGGGAGAACAGATGTATTTAGCATTACTCGTGTACTAAAGCAAATAAATACTGTTTGTGAACGACTCATGGTGAAAAACGCTCGAAAGTTGTATGAATTGACTGCCCCTTCTAAACAAAGAAGTGCAGACAATTTAGTGAACCATTTTGCTTTATTCCATCATATTTTCAAACCAAAAAATAACGAATCGTTAGCTCCATCGAAAATGATGGAAATAATCTTTTTAAAGTTATACGGACATACTAATTCATTCCGATTTTATTCATTTTTTATTAGGTTGCAGGTTTGTTTGTTTTTCAATTAGTCATTTTCAAGAAAGATGCCAAGATTGCCAACATTTGTAAAAAACTGAAATTAACTGAATTAAGTAAACCATTATAGTTTTTTTTATAGCTAAAAACATTATATGTTATGAAAGACAAAACATAACTTTTTAATTGGAGTTAAAATCGAACTGAAAAACGAACTCATCTCTACCTTAAATGTCAGCCACTTGAAATCTTGTGTTTCGAAAAGAACACAACCAATTTCTCAAGAATAATTTCTACTCACGGTCTAACTCACTCTAACACACATGTATAAAAAACTCATAGATTATCATCCAACATTCCAACGGCCTAAACTAGTATTGTCAGGAAGGAACTTTACAAAGCTACATTAAAAATGAACAAATGAAATAATATCTGCTTCTAACTGAATTCTAAACTATTCAAAGTAAAGTTAAGCAGCTAATTAGCTCATCAAATGACAACCAAATTCACAGAGCTTGGTATCTGTGGTCGAAGATGCAACCGTATTCGCCCCTTCACTATTATTGCAATGTCCTGAGATAGGTCACATGGCTTAACGATCACTAGTTTGAGTGTCACAGCATTCTTTATGATATACAAAACATATTCCAGTTCACATGGACATCCTATATATCCAGTGAGCTTCAACTTTCTCAAATTTGGAGAAAACTTTTTCGTTGGCGGAAAATTGTATAACCCTTCGCCGCATGTGCATTTTATTACTTTGAACGGGCAACTCCGCAGCAACTGTAACACAGATAAACATTCAAACAATACTCGTTTTCACCTAGAAAATTTTGTGAAAGGTTGTAACACGCGTAAACTAACAACACAAAAGTGTGCTACATTTATTTGTATTTTGCTGTTTATTCGAGTCTTTTCGAGTCTTAATCAGGTTGAATTATTCTTAGATAGCCTTTGGGTTCCAGGTTAAAAGCTGAAATCCATTTGATACCATATCACCCGTTGAGGTTTTATTCTAAAAGGTTAAAAAACAGAAAAATAATGTAATGCCATAATAGTAGAGGCTAGGTAGTTGTAGGTTTTTACAAGTACAACATACCTTTATCTCAAGCTCCTCCAATGAAGGACATGTTTCAACCATACCATATAGTGAAATCGAACTATAATCAGAGCGATATGCTAGCGTTAGACGTTTCACATTTACATATTCACAATTGCCAGCTGAGTAAGGAATCTGCAACATCAGAACAAAATTTCGATAAGGATAATGATAGAAGCAGGCAGACAGGGAAAAGTTGGAGACCAGTTGAAATAAATTTGATACTACTACCCACATAGTTTTCCTTTTGGTAATTATATCAAATATATGATTGCTAATAAATGCATGTTCCACAAGGAAAAAAATCAAGGTGCATTGATTTTCACTAACCGTTCTGGGATCGAGGAATATATGAAGTTGTAGCAGTTGACTGAGTACGCAAGATGGTACCTCATGAAAGATACTACTAAGTGTGCAGTGTCGACAAAGAGCAATGGTGACATCTGTAAGCTTAGGGACATCACTGAGTCGTAGAATAGCAGGCTTGCATGTGATATACGTCAAACTGACGAGGTTAGTCATCCCGTGAATCTCAATGGATTTCATACGAACAGCGTAAGATATATCAATGCGCTTCAACTTCATCCCAGAATGGCCAACAATCAAGAGATTTCTGAACATATCAGACCCTGTGATAGACAAGGTCTCAAGAAGGGGAAAATTTGCAAGCAAAAGCTGAACCTCTCCATCACTCACCTGAACATTACTCAGAGATATTTCTTTAAGTCCGCACGTGAGGCTTGTCCCACATTTCATCCCAAACAAATTTGTAATTTGAAGCGAGTTGAAGATTACATGGTCTATGTGTAATCTGATGCTCTCAACCCCCCTAGACAACACAAAGTCCAGCCACTTTTCAATATTTGCTCCCTCAAAACTGTACATATGAATCTTGAATTCTTTCACGTGGTTACCCTTATACGAATCTAAGGTACGGTTGATCATCTTTATGTAATCTAAAAATCTTTTGTCAATTTCTTGATGCAACACCTGATGAAAAGGTAAAGTATCTGAAAATGAAGGGAAGTCGAGGCGGGCAGTGTGGTGATAGAGATGTCGCCAGCGAGCGGAAAGGATGCTGGTGGCTATAGCTTCTCGCAATGTGAGCCGTGAGATTATGGATATAAGAATGTCATCAGGCAGTTCGCTTATTCTATCCACATTATCACCATGCCCCTTTGGACCTCTAACTGCCAACTCCTGAAACTCCTACTACTTCAGTTGTATACAATTTATTTTATACATAATGATACTACGATGATCAAGTAAAAAAGAAAATAGATATAAATGAGTAATTGAGTATCATGCACTAACACCTTGCTTTTGAATTTATGCTGTCCCTGTCTTTCCCTAATTGCACCTTCATAAGCTGTACAAATACCAAAAACAACAAACAACGGTATTAATCGCACCCAAGAACATACTTCTTATTAACTTAATTAGTGTTTGTGTTTGCTATGAGTTTTTAGAAACTTAGAAGTGATTTATTTTAAAGATTATATGGGAAATGATTAACAGTAAAAATTGGTAACGCGAAAAACAACCTCTTGAAAAACTAAAGTCTATATATAGTATTTTGTAAAATGTGTTTTTTGTGTAATAGAAAAAGTGAAAACCAGTTAAAAGCATCCCTCCCCTTTTTTCAAACTTGTAAGCAGAAGCACCTATTTGAAAACACTGCTTTTAATTATTTTTTAAGCTAAAAACTAACAAACCCTTTTTTAAGCAAAACAAACTATGCCCTTACTTATGCAGGAATGGAGGTACTTAATTAGGCCCTGTTGTTTTGCAAGAGAATTTCCTCTCTTGGTCTAGTTTGAACTTGTTTAGTTTGTCCAAGTCTGATCCAGTTTATCTAGTTATTTTAATTAAATGATGTTATGGTCTAGTTTGATATGTCGTTTGATTTAGGCTAGTCTATTTCAGTGTGATTTGATGTAATTTGTCATGATGGAACTGAAATAAGGAACATCAGCCTCGGGTAGTGATACTAAAAGAAACTCAATGTCGTTAAAGCAGTGCGTTTGCTTCTACTTTAAAAAAAGTGATTGTTTTAGTAATTTTTTATAAAGTGCCTAATAGTAAAGGATGGCCGTGTTTAAAAAAAGTGATTTTAAGGAAAGAGTTAAAAGTTGGAGTGTTTGCAAACATTCCCTAAATAATTAATAAAAGGAAGAAAAATTCTAAAGGTACACACTTTTTGGTGTACACACTTTTTACACATGTCTGTGTAAGGTTTTTTTTATGTCTGTACAGACATAACGTATCGTTATGTCTGTACAGACATAAAAAAAACCTTACACTGACATGTGTAAAAAGTGTGTACACCAAAAGTGTGTACCCCAAGTCCAACTCTAAAAGGAAATACATACTCCCTTAGTCCCACCAAACGTTACCAAATTTGCTTATTTAGTCATCCTACAGAATTTTACCATTTCTATTTAAAGTACTAAATACTTCCTCCGTTCTTTTTGAGTTGCAACGCTTCCATTTTCACGTTTGCCAATGCACATCTTTGACCATTAATATATTTAATTCCTTATTATATTTTTTAAATAGTAAATTTTTATTGCATTCATAAATAAAATATAATTAGAGTAGAACACACGAATAGTGTAAATTTTCTAATGTGATTATATTTATTTTTTCTGCTTTGCACAAATATCAACCAAACAAAGTGACACAATTTTTACTATATTACTTCCCGTGCAAGTTAAATTTGACCAAATTTTATGAGACAGGGAGTGAATAAAAATTACAACCAGATATGTGCCGATGTTCCCAAAAATACATGCACAAAATTTGAAAAAAAAATTTGAATACATGCACTAAATGTTGTATAAAAATTTATCTGAAAAATTATTTGAATACATTCAACCTTGGCATCTGTTGGCATGTTAATTTTTGGTCTAATTCATGATTAACTTATAACTGGGATTACTCCGGAATGACCAGGCATAAATGAAAGTATTCATGTCATTTTAAGAAGAGTTTTTTACAAGAATATTACTAAAATAAAACATATTTACATAAATATGACTATTCATTACTACAATGTGGTATTATGGTAACTTAAGCTCAAAATTTGAACATGAATTACTATGATTTCATTACTACTCTAGTCATTAGTCATATTTTTGTAAATCATCTTTATTTTGGTCATATTTATGTAATTATTTCTTTTAAGAAAACAATTGAAACACGCCACTCAAATTTGTACTGCACCCGTTACTGAAAATTGAGTTTAGGAGTGAAATTCATACCTTTGGCATTAAGAATGGAAGCCCATAGTACCTCGTCGCGACATGGGACGTCTCTACTCATCCTATCATCATAAGACCAAATTCAATTACGGAGTATAAAAATACAAACTCCCAGCCTGCGTAGTAGCTATGAATTGAACAGCATAAATGAGATGTGCTGAAAACGATATACATACGGTGAGTATTCGAAGACGGCGGTGGCAGATGGCAAGATTGACGGATCCTCCCTCTTCAAAGATCAAAGCTTTATTCTCCTCGATGAAAATAACCCAGACCTATCTATTCTCTCTTACGTTTTGGTCTTTGCATTATCCCCGCTAAACGTAGTTCATGGTTTATGGTTCCAGCTTGACCGCTTCTTCCGCTCATATATTCTCCCTCAATAAGAAGTCCCATTTTAATTTGGAAAAATTAAAAATAATAATCTCAACTATGTATAATCCCAATTATATGGATCGTCCACCAATAATGGTTCATGATCGCATATTACATGCTCTAACAAGTTATTTTTTAATAGAAATTAAGCGTAAAATTGAAATTCGAGATTATTTATAGGGATTACCTACTACTCCCTCCGTCCCGCTAGAAGGTTCTCACTTTCCTTTTTTGGACGTCCCATTAGAAGGTTCTCATTTTCATTTTAGGAAACAATTAACAATCATAAGTGACAAATTAATCATTAAATATTAAAATTAATACATCGATAGAAACTATAAGAATTTATTTATAATCGGTCACCTCGGACCATTATTGGCGGAAGAACCCTAAAGTTGGATTATTCTGAAATAATCGATAGTTGGGATTATTATGAGCGGACTGCCAATAGTTGGGATTATTATAATCAATTTTTCCTTTTAATTTTCTTTTTCTTTTTTATTTCTAAATGGGTAAAATATTCGTATTTTTTATTTTCTTATAAAATAATTTCTAAATTTCATTTTCTAGTAATGGGAATTCCAGAGTTTTTTTTCCAAAATACGGTTAAATAAATAAATATTTACAAAAATAATGTTGGGTTAAAACTATTTCCCAATATAGTGTTGGGAAAATCATAGTTAAAGAACCGCCACTTGAAGTGCCCCTTATATGCAATCTTTATACCGTACACCCGGATGTACGGTGCTCACCGTACATCCGATTATTTTTGTAATTCCTCCATCCACATTCTTCCCTCTTCCGTGCGTAAGTGGATTCCATGCGTATGCTCTCTTTACCGGCCACCAGCATCCTTCGTCTCCTTTTTTACGTACGTAGTATATCTTCGTCCAAAAGGTTGAATCCTCAACCCCAAGGGCCCCCCACCCCGACCCGACAGGATGGTGGGGGAGTAAATCACGGTGACTTAGTCGGCAAAAGATCAGTACGTAGTATATCTTTAATTTACTTGCATATGCTAGAGTGCATATGGCTGGATTTTTTATTTCTTTTTACGTAGACTTTTGTTTATTTCATTTTCCTTTTTTTCTTAACCACCTTATATCCATTGATTTTAATTTATGATGAATAATTAAGGTATTGATCTTTTAATTTTCTATTTTCAATTTAAGAAGAATATTTATTAGTTTATTAAATATTATGTGCTAATTATTAAAATGAGTTTTGTATTATACTGAAATGAGTATAGTGTAAAGTAAATATGCATGGGTAAATATTATATAAAGAACCCGATTATATTTGTAATTCCAGAATGAAAGACCATAAATTATTTTTGATATGAAATTATGATATTTGTCATTACTATATTTGTCATTATAATATATGTGCGAACATTTGAACACATTAGAGAATTCAAACGAGTTTTAAATTTTTTCGATGCTCATTTCGTAAATTATCTATTCTCATTTTATATTGTTGTAATGCTCATTTTAAAATGAGCATTACACTAGACAACTTAAATGTCGTATCTATGCATATTGGTGTAATGCTCATTTTGAACTTTTTGATACTCGTTTCACACGTTATGTATTCACATTTAATATTTGAGCATACTAGAGTTTTTAAATGATTTTTCTGAATTTTTTGGTGCTCATTTCGTAAGTATGTATACTCATTTAATATTGGTGTAATGCTCATTATATGTATGAAAAAGTAAGGAAAAAAACCTAATAAGGCCCACAAAAAAGACCCAATTAAGAAAGACAGTCCATTTAATTAAAACAACCTAATTTTTTCGGTGGCATTTTTGTAATTTAAGCGAAAAATCACCGCTTCCACTAAGGGGGATGTATTGTATTAGGATTCAGTGGCAAAATTTTAAAAGTCCATGGATTTTAAAAGTTTAGATGTATTCAATGTGGATTTTTAAAAGTCTATAAAAGTCTGGACATATTCAAAGTTCCGTTCATTCTTATGGATTTCTAAAATCATGGATTCTCGTGGACTTTTAACTCATTTTTAGTACATTGATTCTCTTCAATTGTCTCTTCTCCTCACTAAAGATTTCCGTTGACTTTTCTTATATCGGTCTTCATCCCGTCCCACCCCATCCCTCCCCTCTTGCCCAACTCTCCCTCTTCTTTAGCCAAGCCACCCCTTCCCCTTCAATCTTTCTTCTTCTTCTTCAGCCCAGCTCGCCCCACCCCTCTCCTTCCGTTCTTTTTTCTTCTTCAGCTTGCCCCACCCCACCCCCCTCGATCCCCCCTCGATTCGTTAATCCCATAATGGTTCAATTCTTGAAGTTTCTAGAAGAATTGGTATAAGAATCGATAGTATTACATCGTGAAATTCTGGTACGTCGTCACCTAACCATTAAGAAAATAAATATTTTAACTAATACTTTCTTTCATCGTTAAATCGCTAACACATAAAAATATAATTTCAAATTAATAAATATATTACTGTAAATAAGCACACAAAATTTTACAAGATAGAAATGAAAAGAAAACATTTATTAAGAAGAAAAAGTCGATTGCAACTATGCTTGTATCACATGTAGCAATGAGTGTAACGGTTGTGTAACGATTAATGTTATTACTCATTAATAAAATGACCAAAATTCTTGAGCATTCTTGAAACTTTGAGTGTTTTTAATAAAAATAAATTTTGATTCTTATGCTTCATTTATTCTTGTAGAACTTTATGTTGCTATATGAATTACATTTGTTTTATTTATTTATTTGGTTTGTTTGTTTGTTTGTTTCTTATCATACTCCGTATTATACAGAAGAAATTATTCAGGGTAGGACTAAAACATAGCATTCTTCTTAAAGTATGATCATATGTTTGGTTTTCCTTAAATAGGACTAAATATTACATATTCACCCCTAATTTAATTAATTAATTAAATCGATATTGTTGGTGGCGAATCAGTCCGATGACGACATCGGATCAGTCTGATGATGACAGCGGGGAACTCCGGTGACGGAGGCGGATGGGCAAATCGGTAGCAGCGATCTAAGTGAAAATTTCGACGACCAAGAGTGGTGGTCTGCATTTAAAAGTTTATGGACTTTTTGAAAGTCAATAAACTTATCCATGGATTTAAAAGTCCATAGAATTCATTCAAAAAAAGTCTATGGATTTAAAAGTCCATTGACTTTTTTAAAAGTCCACGGATTAAAAAAGGTCCACCACAATCCATATTCAATACACCCCCCTAAATGAGCAATGGTGTACTTTTAATGAGCACCTGATCTATTTTATTGAGTATTAAGAGGCTAACAACGAGTATCACGATCTCTGCTTCATATCTTCTAACTCAATTTTTTCCTTATTTTTTGTATTATAAAAAGTAATTAAATTATATCTATAATACACTCCTATGGATTTCCGTACGAGAATTTAATGTAATATGATACTTTTAAGATATGTATTGATATAACATTTTAAAATGAGCATAACATCAGTATCAAATGAGTATATGTAACTTATAAAATGTTCATTGATATGAAAATTTTAAGATTTGTGGTTTAACGTAACGATATGTTTATTGAGCACCAAACGTCATTTATTGAGATGAAAATCAAGGATTTTGTTAAATGAGCATCAATATACTTTTAATGAGAATCAAACATGTTCTGTTGAGTATTATTGAGCATTATGAATTATGCTTCATAACTTTTTATTCACTTTTTTTTTCATTTTTTGTCTTTTATGTATTAATTTTTTCAATTATATCTATAATAGTCTCCTATGGACTCCAATATGCGAATCTAATTTAATATTATACTTTTGGAATATGATCAAGACATTTCATTGAGTATCAAGCCATTTTCATTGAGTATCAAGTTTTCTCTATTTAGCATTGACACTGTGCAATTGAGCATAAATACTTCTAAACCCATTGAGCATCAAAACATCGTAATTAAATAGTGAGCTGTAATAGTGCTTATCTTAAAACGTTATATCGATGTACATTTCGTGTAAATATTATACTCATTTGGGTATAGCATAAACCTCATTTTGTGTACACATTTATAATGTTACACAAATACTCATTTTTTTAAAAGTGGTGCTCATATATGTGTAAGATAAAAGCATTTCAAAAAATGAGTAACCGCTAGGACATGAACTAATCAAAGCAATCCAGCAATCTTGCACATAAATCAAAGCACTCCAGCATGCACTCCACGCGTCAGATGGGCCAAAACCCTAGGAGCTCCTTCGTGTCAACTTATTTATCTTCTCTTCGCATGTGCCGCAGCTTAGCTTCAATTTGAAATAAAAAATTAAAGGATGATGCGAAATTCAAACGGGTAGTTGACCAACCACATAGCTCATCTTCTAAACAATTACAAAAATACCGGGTGCAGGTGTACACCCTGATGTAGCATATAATTGCGCCTTATATGCCTCCTAAAAAAATTAACGCACATACTTAGAAATTGACTCATGGGTCCCACCATCAAATAAAATATAATGTTTTTTTAAAATGATACAACTTTTTTATTTGTACTACGATTTTTATAAAAAATATATCAAAATTCATACTTTTTATTATGTTTCATATGACACCAAATTGAATATATAAAAATTAATAAATAATTTGACACTTTAAAATATCTACTTTTTTAAAGTGCTACTCTCTCGTCACTTAAAACTTTGTCAAGTTTGACCGGCATGAAGATTAATAAAGTAAAAACCGTGTGGTTGAGGTTTGTACAGAGGAGAGAGAATTAACTAGAACCATAAATTATTTACTAAAAAGGGAAAGTGACAAAGTTAATGGGACATGAAAAAAGAAAAGTTAGCAAAGTTTTAAGGGAAGAAAGGAGCATATCTTTTTATTTGTACTATGATTATTACAAAATATATATCAAAATTCATAGGTTTTTATTATCTTTCATATAATATCAATGTTGCATATATAAAAAAATTGTTGATAATAAAAAGCATCCTAAGCTACAAAAAATTATACAATATTTTTTATTTAAAGTGTTGAATTATTATTTTTTATTTTTATATATTCAATATTGGTGTCATATTAAAGATATTAAAAATTATAAATTTTGATATATTTTTTATAACAATCGGAGTATAAATAAAAAAAGGATATAACGCTTTAAAAAGTAGATATTTTTAAAGTGTCAAATTATTATTTTTATATACTCGATATTGGTGTCATATTAAAGAATAAAAATTTATAAATTTTGATATACATTTTATAACAATCGGAGTACAAATAAAAAAGTTATACCACTTTAAAAAAACATGATATTTTATTTGATGGTGGGACCCATGAGTCAACTTCTCCTTCCTCCTAGCTTAGTACGTGCGTCAATTTTTTTAGGCATATAAGGAGTCCGTCCATCGTATAACCGGTTGTACGGTTAACACCGTACTGCTGGTGGCAGTTTTGTAATATGATGTGAAAATCATGTTTTCTGCTATCTGAGCATTAGTGTACTGTTAATGAGCAATAGTCCAATTTTAATGAGTATTAAAAGTCTAATAATGAGCACCATGTTATTATAAGAAAGCTGATATCACAACTAAAAAACGGTGGCATTTTTGTAATTTCAGTGAAACTCACGGGTTTTGTTAGATGAACATTAATACACTGTTAATGAGCACCAGACGTATTTTACTGAGTATTAAGAGTCAAATAATGAGTATTGTGATATCAACTTCATATATTGTAATTCACTTTCTTTTTCTTATTTTATCTTTTATAAAAACTCATTAAATTATATCTATAATCAACTTCTATGAATTTCAATTAATATGCAAATCTAATGTAATATGGTACTTTTGAAATATGCATTGATATGACATTTTAAAAATGAGTATAACATGACTACCAATTGAGTATACTAACTTATAAAATGAGTGTTTGTATGAAAATTATAAGTTTTTCTAGTTGAGTGAGCATCAAGACATTTTCATTGAGAATCAAACATCATGTTTTGAGTATTATAAACATGCAATTGAGTATCATGATCTATGCTCTTGTATCTATAATCAACTCTTACATGAATGTAATGTAATATAATACTTTTCAAATATGCATTGATATAACATTTTAAAATGAGCATAACATCAGTACAAAATGAGCATACATTAGTTTCCAAATGAGCAATGATATAAAAATCATAATATTTGTTAATTAGTTGAACATCAAAACATGTTTGTTGATCATCAAACCTCCTCTATTGAGTATCAAAAGCATGCAATTGAATATCATAATCTCTGTTCACAATTTCACATGTATCTAATCTAACTCTTATGCAAATCTAACATGATACATTCAGTGGCGGATCATTGTGAGGGCAGGGGTGGGCTCAAGCCCATCCCAATTTTTTATTTATATATTAATATAGATATAAGTTTGATTAGCAGCCCACCCCAAAATTAATTCCCAGCCCAATCCAAGCCTAATCCAGGTGTCCAACTATTCCACTAATCCACTCACCTGCGGCCTTCTGATCCTTATGCGAAGATTGAAGAACGAAGGTCGAAGCAGAGCCTAGCAGCTTGCGACACAAGCTGACCTGCAGCCACCAACCGCACTGTCAGACGTCGTCGCCCACTCGGCCGTGTTTTCTCTCCGGCTCTCCGCTCTGCCTATAGCTCCTGAGCCCCAGCCTCTAGGTCGAAGCAGAGCCTAGCAGCTTGTGTATTGTTGTTGTGTATTTTTATTTTTAGGGTTAGAGAATCAATTCGATAATTAATTGAATTTCTCAGTTCATAACAAAATAGTGTTTATTCATTATAAATTTATAATGATTAAAGATAGAATTAAAGATTAGAGAATGATTTATTTATTATACAATTGAAGAATATTGATTGATTTATTCATTGTCTGGACGTGTAAGAAAGAATTAAAATTATCAATTAAATTTTGAAATTGGGAATATTTATTAGTTTTATGTACAACTATTGTTTTTTCTTATTAGTTTTATAATTTTATAGAAGTGTTTTAATTCATACCAATATTAAATATGTTTTTTTAGAATGGATAATGATTAATGGACATATTGCTAAGAAAGGAAAGAAGTTAATTTCGTCATTCTTTCCTAAAGTGAATCGTCAAACTGGTGAAGGAAGTTCTCAACCTATACCTACAATAATGTAAGATCTACAAAATGAGGTTCCTCCACAAGACTAAATCCCTGAAATCCAAACTATCTCAAATTTGGGGCTACCTCCATTTTTTTGCATTAATAGATGTAGATTCTATATTATTGATGAATTTTATACTTTGAAGTCAAGTAGGGCTCAACTTAAATGATGTTTTGATGAATACTTAAAGTGTTGACGACTTTCAATATTACTATGTGTGTGTCTTCAAATTTTATTTCTCAGCCCACCCCATTGTAGACTTCTGGATCCGCCCCTGGATACATTTAAGTATTCATTTATATGACATTTTAAAATGAGCTTAAAATCAGTACTTAATGAACAAACGTATATTACAAAATGAGCATCGAAAAATTCAAAAGCTTGTTTGAATTCTCTAATGTAATATAGTAATGAAAAAATATAGTAATTTTATATTAAAAATAATTTAATTTATAGTCTTTCATTCTTGAATTATAAATATAATCAGGTTCTTTTTATAATATTTACTCATGCATATTTAATTAATACTATGCACATTTAAGTATAACACAAAACTCATGTTAAATTAATACCTAAAATATTTTAAACTAAAAATAAAAAAAATAAAACATTAATACCTAAAATATTTTATAATGCACAAATTAAGAAAAAGGTTGAATATATAATGCACAAAACATTTTCATAATAATTGAATATATAATTAAAGCAAAAGGTTGATAAAGAGAAAAAAAAAGAGAGGATAACAAACTAAGAAAAACAAAAAAAAAAAAAGCAGAAGTGCGGAACTAACAAAAAAATTAAGAAAGTGCGGAACTAACAAAAAGAAGTGCGCCGTGGGAAAGAAAGGACTCAAAGGAGAACAAACCAAACGCCAGGGAAGTGCAGGAGTGCATGCGACGGGAAAAAAACTAGAATAACTTTACTCTAATTATAACCCTTAAACTTCTAACTAATTACAAAAATGCCGGCTATACCATGCTCATGGTACATCCGACTGTACCGTATAATTTACCGCATATAAGCTGCCACTTCAAGTGACGGTTTTTTAAGTGTGGTTATCCCAGCAGTATTTTGGGAAATACTTTTAACTCAACATTATTTTCGGAAATATTTATTTATTTAGCAGTATATTGAGAAAAAAACTCGGAATTCCAAGCTAAGACATTTCAACATTTGGGAAGTTTTTGTTGGAACAAGGAAATACTGAGTAAAGTTATCCGATAATCAAATAAAAAATATGTTTGATGTACACCGTTTTATGTACCGTTCACACACATTGTTCGTCTACTTAAAATGGTGTACACTAAACATTTTTTATCAAATTAAATTATCAATCACATTAAAAGAATTAAAAAGAGATTCAATCTCAATTCATACAAGAATAATATTCTCCAAATTTGTCTATTGAACTATATTAGTCTAACTATAAGTAGTAACTACTTTCAGAAAAACTATTAATTACTTAATAAGTAAGAGCCCGTTTACTAACAGAGATATTTTTCAGTTCTTTTTCTGGTTTTTGTTCTCCAATTTTCTATTTTCATTTTCTAGTTTTTCTAACTCCAATTTTCTATTTTCATTTTTCAGTTTTTCATTTTCAAATCTGAACACATGTTCATCAAATTTTTTCACCTCGTTCTGGGACTGGCCGAAAGACCAAATGTACGGTCCCGATCTAGAATGGAACCTAGTTCAGCCCAAGTAGGGTAGCCGGTCCCAAGTATAGGAAGGTTGGGACCGAAACCGACTGGTCCTGGTCGGTCCCAACGGCTAATTTGACAAATTCTTTTCCCTTTTACATGCTGGTTGGCAATCCAACGCCACTTTTGAAATTCTTCAATTTGAAAAATGATTTAAAAAACAATGACCGAACCACCAAGTCGTTGACCGAACCAAGCAGAGATTGTCGGGTCATTGATCGGACTAGGGGCGGGCACGGTCCGGTACGGTTCGGGATTTGGCTTATCCCGGTCTTGATCCGGTATTATAATAACGGTCTGGTATGATTCGGGATAAGTCTTTATCCCAATGTTGTTCCATTTAAAACGGGGTCGAGACATCCCGAGAAAAATCGAGACGGTTCAGAACGTCCCATAAAATATACATTTGTGAAAAGTGATAAAATAAGCGTAAAATCAAAATAAGGACGTAACTATTTTTGCAAATTTAGCTTCTCTAAAAAGTTAAGTAAAACCTCTAATTAACTATTTTTAATTATTGTCTTGTAATTTTTTTTGTCCCCCTAATCATGTGTTTCCTCGTAGAATACTAGAATAGTAGCGCAAAATACTTTTATATTTTTTAGTACACTTGTAATTTTTCAATACCATATTAAATTAAATATCATATCTATAAAGACTATATATACTTTCTAGTAGTTGTTTTGGAAAATATCAAAACTCTAACAACATGTGGAGTAGTAGTTATTCCATCATAAATAATATTCCGCACAATATTATATTATGGAGTATATAGGAATGAGAACTAAACAAATTTTAATCGATAGAAACAAAAGAAACGAGACTAAGAGAGACATGAAACAAGATAAAATTACAATAAGAAGACTAAGGGCTAGAAAGTTTTAATTGGATTTGGCTATTACATAGCATTGAAAATTTAAAAATAACCTACTAATTTCAACCGGGACACCGGGACGGGACATGATATTTTATAGCTTTCCCGGTCCCGTCCCGATTAATATCGGTACGGGACCGGTTCGGGATGAAAAAATTGCATCCTAAATGGATCGGGAAAGTTTCAGAACGGCATCGGGATTTTTTGGTTTGGGACACCGGGACCGGGATTTTTGCCCACCCCTAGATCGGACAACCCGGTCGTCGACTGTACCAGACAGGGACCGCCAAGTCATTAAGCAGACCAGATAGAGATCGCCCAGTCGTTGACGAGACCGGGCCGGGATTGCCTGACCGTAAATCGGATAGCTATCGCCGGATCGCCGACCGGACCGAACAAAAACCACTGGATCGTCGACCGGGCCAAACAAGGAGCGTCAGATCATTGATTCTACCGAACAGGACCACCGGGTCGTTGATCGTTTACCGGACTGAACCTAAGACCGGAGCGGGATCAGTTCCACCAGTAGGCGTAACTGTTCAAATTCATTGCAGTAGCACTGAAACATCTACGTTTTTCAATATTGGAAAACTAGTAAAAAAACATTTCTCCCATTCATTAGGAAAAACAAAGACATGTCTCATTTTTTTGATTTTGGAAAATGATCAGTAAACACATTTTCCTGTTTTCATTTCTCTAGTTTTTCCATCAAATAATATAAATAGTACAAATAAATATAAATATAACTAAACACACACACACATATAAACCTATTTATACACACATATATAAACCGGCCTGTTAAGCTAAAGAGGATTCAGAGTTGAGCTAAGCCTGACCTATTTAGATAAACGAGCTTTTAGAAAAGCCCAAGGCCAGGCACATGCCTATTCCCACCCTAACGGAAAATTGATTCACCATATCATATAAATTTCAGTTCGCAAAAAATTGACAGATGGGGCAAACATTATAACTTGTTTTGACTTGTATGGAATATTCAGCTACTCCTTTTGTCCCTTAAAACTTTACCAATTTTGACCGGCAAGAGAATTAATAAAATAAAAATTGTGTAGTTGATCAGCATGACGTCATCAGAATGCATGAACAACGCAGGAGCCCGCCGTTATTTCTTTTACTCTCTTTCACTCTGTTAGCTCAATTAAGAGTCTAAAAGTTCCATTTTTAATTTTTTGACTCCTAATCTTTCACCGCTACAAATTGTCTTAGACCATCTCCATTCATGATCTCTAATAATCAATTTTTTTTATGATTTTTACCATTTAAATATTGTCATTTAATTAATTATAAAATAATCTCAAAATTCGTTTATGTCTCTCACTCATCATCTTCAAATAATATGTTTTTTCTCTGTCCTGCATTAATTTCTATTACATATACTTTTCAAATAATCTTAAAATAATCGAGATTCATATTTTGATCCCAGATTACTGTAGCAAATAATTCTATTAAACAATCTATATCACTCAATGATAATTCTCTAAAAAACAATCATGTCACCAATTTAATCTCATAATAATCCTCGCAATGAGTATACCCTTAGGGACCATTCCTCCTTTTCAAATAGGGTCCACACCAGTATTAAACACTAAAACCGACCAAGGATCGACTCAAATGATGTTACGAGTCTGATTTTCTCTTTTGGTGGTCCAATTAAATAATCAAACAGAACTTGAAAATTTAAGCTAACTAATGGCCGTTAAATTAATAACCCAACACAAAGCGGTCAAGATTTGAAGCCGTTACTTTTAATATAGTATATATGATTATTATTAATTCATGTGTCTTTTACGTACACAACATTAAGATAAATGATTTTTTACTTTGAATACTTGGTGGTTTTATTTGGAGATTATCATTTGTGTGAGTATATGTCGCTTTGTGTTTGTGATAATTTTGTTTGAAAACGGATTTTAAATTACAAAAAGAAAATGTAATGATTTATCGTGGAAGATTTAAAGTAGAAACAAACCACAAACACTCCCAGAGTAGTATTGGAAATAAGCTCTCAATTCTTCTTTAATGTGTTGGAGTTTAACTTCTCAAGCATTATGCAAAAGGAATGGCATTTCATGGTAAAATACATTGAAAAGACATCTTCTGATCTTAAGTTAGAACTTGGTATTGAAATCTGAACCTGACCATCCATGGTGAGCTATGTTCTTCTGGAAAACATTCCTTTCCTGATACGCATGTCAAGTTTATGAATTTCATTGTTTCCCAGAATACAGCAATCACATTTATGAAAGAAAAAGATGTGATGTTTGTACAGTATAGACTCACCTAGATGTAGAAGAAGATCCAAACCTATCATTAAGACTCATTGATGACAGTTTACTTGATAGATCATCAGATGCATCTGCAATAGCTTTCTCCAAGTTCTTATCATTGCAGGCATCATAATAGCACCCTCTGGCCTTAGAATCCACCACCAAGTCCCTCCAAACCGACCCGCTATTGATCAACGTAGAGCTATTGCCCACTACCCATAAGCAATACCTATAACAAGAGCAACAAAAATATATTCAAGACTAACATTATATATGATATGAATCTCAACTTGTTTAGCCTATGCAATAAGGTTAAGAATTTAATCTCTTATGTGGTTTAATTTAGTCTATTATGACTTGGGATTACATTACAGAAGCCAGTCTATAGTCTTATATATGTGGATTTGTATTGACCATAAAACATTTTGGCCAAATTTTACCAAAAGATTGGATTCAATAGATAGGCAAGTTTGATACAGTATGATTAATCCTATCATTTTCTATTTATTTGGATGATGTAAGGTGCAAAACATCTGATGAAACAGTAGAATACCTTGCTCGAGTAAGAACCACATTCGTGCGTTGCAAGTTGGACAAGAATCCAACGGCTCCCCTTCCGTTAGACCGTACCGTAGATATTATGATAACATCCTCTTCACCACCTTGAAACCCATCAACAGATCTCACATTCACACAGAAATCGCTGTCAACATCTGTGCTATATTTCTTCCCGAGCTTCTGTTGGATTGCGAAAACCTGAGCTTTGTAAGGGGAAATGCAGCCAACATGCACCTTCTGTTTTGAAGCTACATACTCTAAATCCGTCCAACAAAAAAAGAGTTACTAACAAAAACAAGTATTCCTTAAAAGAAGGATAGACAATAGAGAAATCAGAATACCTTTATAAAGCATAGCAACAATTTCAGCAACAGCAGAGACTTCAACCATGTTTTTACTGCTATGTTTGATGTCCTGTTCCTCTCTTCCTCCTCGAATGTCGATGAAAGAAAAAGGTCCGAACATTTCTCCTTTGAGAAACCGCTTCTCGAATCCTTCCTTTGTGACATTAGGCCCATTCATCACCTTATTTTCATAAAACTGCTTGTTTGGGAACAAACTAATAGAGGGATGCATTCTATACTGAACATTGAGGAGATGCCTTTTGTGTCCTAATTTCACTAACCGTTCAAATAAACTTCTCCCGAACTCCACCTTCTCACATATATTGCTTTGAACCATTGCTGGAAGTTGCTTTTCGTCTCCAATGAGTATGGCATGTCTTAGGCCGGGAAGCTGCAGCGAGATAGTCGATTCACATTCTTTAAGCTGTGCAGCTTCATCAATAACCAAAAGCTCTATAGGAACATTGCCTTCGGTGTGCAGTTCCGATGAGCTTGAGACAGTGGAGAAAATCAAGACCGCGTTTTTGAGACAAAAGCTTCTAATTTGATAGCTTTCAGAAAAACATGGCAGGGAAATGGTGCCGCGAAGAAGTTTCAGTATAGAAACACATTCTGTTTTTGTAGTCTGCAATACCTTGAATTGCTTCTCCCAAGCACTAAAAGGCATGTCTTTTCCATTGAAGCAATCTCTTAGATTTCCTCCACAAGTTTCGACAGCTTTTTTCAGCAAATTGCCAAGAGATTGGAGCACTCCAAGTGCTATAAGCATCTTCTTCGCCAAGTTCAAGGGGACATAAGATGTGGGCAAATGAGTGTAGAGAGTCTTCATACAAAAGTCCAATTGATCCGTTAACATTTGATACTGCTTCAACATGAACTCTTCAAATGTCAAAACCAGTATCTCCTCATCAACAGTCACTCTCCTTTGAGAAGAAGATTCATCTTTCGCCTTTTTCTTCAATTCCTTTAGTATCCATTTGGCAGAGGAAAATAAAAAAAGACTGAAACTTATAAAAAAGTAGAAAACTCCCACTTATATATGTCTCGTTCATCAGCACTAAGATTTGAAGTACTTTCCCAAAATAAAAGTCTTATTCTGGATTGCAAAGCTCTGAATAAAGTCAAAGTTAAATTTCCCAGAATACAATTTAAATTAATAGTATAATAAAATTTATGGAAACTGCATTAAAAATTTATGAAACTGCAAAAACAGAATTTGAGAATCTTAAAATCATTAACAATGAAAAGATAGATGAATAGAAACACTAAGATCCTGTTTGATAAAACACTAAGATATGTTGAAATAGTTGATTTTGAAAATAATAAATAAAAACACTCCCGTCTATTAAAATTGTGGCATCTTTTACCACTGATTTAACTTATGTACTCTTATGAGAGTTACAATTTTTATACTTTTAGGTAGGAGTGAATTTTTAAAAATATATTACTACGTATTTTCATATGGTAAATAATTATGCTTAATAATAAATTAATGGTAAAAAATTAATATCATTGATTAAGAAAATCAAAGACGATTAAACGATTAATCTTTAAGTGAGGCCAAAAAAGTACTATATTAATAACAGAAAAAAGTTAATACCTTCCATGATAAAAAAAATTAAAATGATCGTGGGGGAATTTCCGAAATAAGACTTCAATGAAACTTTAGTTGTAAGAATAGGAGAGTATAACTTTAAAATTCCCTAAATAGGACTGACTACTTTTTGAATCTTACCGTTGCTTTGTTTTAACACAATTCATATTTCATTAATGAATCAAACATAAATGTAATAAATAACTTTATTTATAGTAAAATTGTAAAAAAAACGAATAAAAATATCAAATAATTTTAATAAAATAAAAAAGTCTTATTTAGACTAAGAAGATAGAGTATACCTTAGTCCTATTTTGGAAAAATAAATAACGTAGTTCTATGGGTGCATTTAGGGACTAGTTTACTCCTATTTAGGACTATGAGAATACTTAAAGGGGAAACCAAATAAGCACTCCCAATAAGAAAACATATTCCATGACACTCTTTTCCATATCCCAAAGTAACCCTTTTCAGGACTTAAACGTACCCTTAAGGTCTGAAGCACAAGTTGCCTGCTAAAATGCTGACTCCCCTTGGTCTTTCTCATGACTTCATTGGTGACAAATCCCTCCTCATCATCATCATCACTATCACTTTCTTCATCATTTTCAGAGCATTCAGATTCCATCCCCTCCTCGTCAACAGAGCTTGCATTATTCTTCCCTCTTTTTTTCTGCAAGAACTTCATATATTCCCCTTCTGGCTCTTCCAGTAAGCATATTATCCAATTCAAACTTGACTGCCAGCCCACCAATGGCGACAAACACTTCTCAAGAGCAGCTACACGATGGTTTAGGAAAACATCACGGAGATTATCATGGTCATCCACCTTCATCCTTTCCCCATTACCAAACACGACAATGTCTCCTAACCCGTAAGTGTCATACTGGAGATTGCCACCTATCAGCTCCAACAACCGCTTTGCGACTCCGATAACAGCAACGTTAGTTGGGGCACAAGTTAACGTTCTGACTTTCATGTCGAACAAGACAGATAACAAGGACGCAACAGTCTTTGTTTTACCGGTCCCCGGTGGACCCCATATTAGCTTCACTATGTTTTGGTGATGACATTGGCTAGCTTTTACACAGCTCAGAACAGCTTCTTCTTGGGAGTTATCCAAGCCAAATGGCTGAATGGCTTCCCTGACATTCCTTAGATTCGTTTCTTCATGGGTGCAGACTGGACAGTTTCCTTCATCCTGTCATAATGTTTGAACATCAGTTAAGAAAAACCAAAATGAATCATGATGGGTAGGTTTGTATCACATACAAATATAAGAAACAAGTATTCTATTAAGATATGTAGTTTCATTCTAAAAGTTTCAACGAAGGAGTAACTCATTTCAATATAGCACTTTATTATTTCACAATTTTCCACTGAAGGACTTCAACACCCTTCCTCACAATAGTGGTATCTCAAGTTTCATCCTAAAAGATCAGGCTCTATTAAAATTGTGTCGTCATACATTATGCCGTTGCCAACCCACGAGTTTGACCATTAATATCTTTCATTCCTTATTAGTAAAAAATTTAAAAAATTAGATTTTGAAAATTTAAAAAATTAGATTTTGAAAATTTAAAATGAGAGAAATTTAATAGTATTTTTTTAAAATCTAATTTATATTACATTAATAAATAAAATTGAGTCAAAGTAGAACATGTGAATAGTGCAAAAAGTCCAATGTTGCATTTAATAGAGAACGGAGGTAGTATGTGTGAAGTCAAAGTGTCAAGTTAATTAAGAACCGGAGGGAGTATAAATAAGAGGTTCGTAAATATAATAATAATAATAATAATAATAATAATAATAATAATAATAATAATAATAATAATAATAATAATAATAATAATAATAATAATAATAATAATAATAATAATAGTAATAGTAATAGTAATAGTAATAATAATAGTGATAATAGTACCCAAAATTAATGATTATAATAAAATTTCAAAGATTCGACTAAAAAAATCAAATAATATTTTTGGTTCTCTATTTTCATTTACATCTAAGTCTTTTAACATGACTGATTTCAATTAAAGCTTATCAAGCGACAAATTGGGAAATTATAGTATTTCAATATTTTCCAAATCTTGTGAATTTGTGATCGCATGGGCTGCTATTAAATTTTATTTATGTCGTGTATGAGATCAGGTTTATTGGATTAGATACACATATCGGTTCATGGATACCGGTATCAGAAGTGTATATATATATTTTAAAAAGTTCAATACTTTACTTAAATTGTGAATACGGACACAATAAGTACATGACACGTATCGGTGAACATCCATATTGAATACGTACATGATACTTGGAATTGATACTACATACTACCTCCGTTCCTATTATAAGTTCCAAATAAGTTTGACACGCAATTTAAGATAGTGGGTATTATGTGGTGGAGAATTGTGCAGAGGAGAGAAAAATGTGTATGAAATGTTGTGAAACACAAATTCTTTACCAAAAGGAGAAAGTGGAAGTTTTAATTGGAATGAAGGAAAAAAGAAAGTTAGAAGTTATAATAAGTAGTTGACTGACCTTGGGATCGATTTGAAGGACGTTTCTGATGATATTAAAGTTAGCAGCTTCCTGGTCAATGTGCAGAGACTTCCAAATCCGATTATTTGTAGTCAAGCTCGTAAGGTAAACAACAAAAAGCTTATCTCTTTTGATCCCAACCGAAGCGTCCCCTTTCCGGAATTCAATTGGTTTAGAAGCCAAGACTGGAAACGTTGAAGACGATCCGCCGCCTTTCCGGCCTTGAACCACCGCCAAGAGATAGGTCATCTTCGGCCGGTTGAGATCCTCAATCCGCCTCGGCCTCACATCAGAGAAGGCAACAAGGTCACCTACCTCTGGATTGTAGGGCAGGTGCTTCATACCCTCATCATCATTATTAAAGAAACTGCCCTCACTGTCAATTGTCTTCTTAGCTCGAATGGTGTAAAGTAAGTCCTTTGGAGGCTTGAAACCCTTTGAGATTTTCACGTCTGACACCTCGCAAGAAGGGGCTGTACGGAGTGAGCTTTTCAGGTTGGAGACCAAATCAGCCCTTGTTTCTTCCAGGAGTGGATACACGAATGAGTTCCGGTATTGAGTGGTTGATGTGAAGCTATTTGGAATTTCTTTGACCTGATGAAAGCAATGGCAAAGAGGTCAGCTCGATCGGTGCCCATTGAGGCCACCCGAGAGTTTGGGGAAGGGTCAATACTTCGAGGGCAGAGGTCAACTTGGTGCACATTGACGCCACCCCGAGAGTTCGGGGAAGGGTCAATACTCCAAGGGTAAAGGTCAGCTCGGTGCACATTGATGCCACCGAGAATTCGGGGAAGGGTCAATACTCCTAAGGGCAAAGGTCAGCTCAGTGCACATTGACGCCACCCTGAGAGTTCGGGGAAGGGTCAATACTCCAAGGGTAAAGGTCAGCTCGGTGCACATTGATGCCACCGAGAATTCGGGGAAGGGTCAATACTCCTAAGGGCAAAGGTCAGCTCAGTGCACATTGACGCCACCTCGAGAGTTCGGGGATGGGTCAATACTCCGAGGGAAAAGGTCAACTCGGTGCACATTGACGCCACCCCTAGAGTTCGGGGAAGGGTCAATACTCCGAGGGCAAAGGTCAGCTCGGTGCACATTGACACCACCCCGAGAATTCAGGGAAGGGTCAATACTCGTAAGGGCAAAGGTCAGCTCGGTGCACATTGACACCACCCCGAGAGTTCAGGGAAGGGTCAATACTCGTAAGGGCAAAGGTCAGCTTGGTGCACATTGACACCACCCCGAGAGTTCAGGGAAGGGTCAATACTCCAAGGGCAAAGAACAACTCAGTGCACATTGAAGCCAGCCGGAGAGTTCAGGGAAGGATCTCACTGCAACCAGTGAACTCTCGATCATACATCAACATCATAACAAGTGTGAAAGGGCTCCTTTGACCTTGGAGTCCTACTTCTGTTCAAGAAAAACTTATGTTTCCCTCCTGTTTAGGAAAAAAGAAAGTGAAAAGAACCAAACCTTGTCTTTCAATAGATTTTCATTCATGACATCTCTTAAAGACCAAGAAAACACAGCATCTATGAGGCCTTGCCCTTGGCGCTTCTTCTCTGCATGTTTCTTAGCAGCTTCGCTTGCAGCTTCCATAATTCCTGGAAGAAACAATGAAGATCTAACCAGCTAACATCTCAAAACCTTGCCAAAAAAAAGTGGGATCTTTTTTGCCTTTAAGATGGAGCAAACCCAAAGAAGAGGGGAAATCCGTACTGAAAAAAGCAGGATGATTATAAATTTTTGATCAAGAAAGTAAAGCACCTGGAGCACTTAGGTTGACCGAAGTCAACAAGAAAACAGAATGTGTGTCAATAACAAAACTACAAATAAAAGCATGAAAGTGTAAAGATGATGCGATTAAGGAAACCGACGTATATATGTACTACTGTGAAGGGAGGAAAATAAAGGGAAAAACAAGAATGAGAGGAAAGTTGCGAAGGTGAAAAGCTTCTCAGGTGAAAAAGGAAGGAAGAGATGACGTTCTGATTTCTTGTAGTGAATAATGGCGTGGGGCCGGCAAACCACGCAGTAAAAATATAATACGTCGTTTAGTTTACTGAGCCAAAATTTCGTATCTCTGCTCCCCATTTATAAGACTAAGCCAACAAGACTCCAATAATTATGCACAAAACCATCCTCTTTGTGATACAAAAACTAACCTCTTACTTCCAAACAAAGTTTGGGATCAATTGACCTTTTTTTCCCGAAGAACTTGGCTTATATTGAAATCTCAACATTTAGATGATGGGTAATCCGACAAATAGAATTCTAACAACTGTTGTCCCGCGAACTAGACTCGGAGTTAATCACCTCATTAGAAGCAGTATAACTCGTTGATCCTTTAGTGGACACAAATGAGTCATAAACGATTACCTCAATTCCAATGTCACCCACATCCAAATCCAATGTTTACAACCAGGAAAAACAAGAGCAAAACCAAATAAAAAACATACTGAGAAGTCTGAGTAGTAATAAAAATTAAAATAAAAATAATAATCTGTCTCCCGATCTGCTTGCTCTGCATCCTTATCAGGAATCCTTGCTTCTGATTCTGACTTTTCTTAGGCGGGCTTACTGATCGAAGCCCGCCTCCTCCCCGTTTTTTGTCTCATCCAGTGCCATACTTTTCTTCCCCTGCAGTTCATCTCCCTGAGTCTCTCACGGCCTCATACGTTTCTGTTCTCTTGTTGCTTCTTCCTTATTCTCTTCTCTTGCTCTTTATGTTATACTTTGTTCTGAATCTGCCCCCAAATCTTTCCTCCCATCTCTCAACCTATCTTTTGATTTAATCCCCTCTCCATACCTATAGTTAGGGGTGGGCAGAAATACCGGAAAACCGGTATACCGCACTTATCGTACCGAAAAATACCGGAAAATACCGGAATGTTGGTATACCGTCATTTTCGGTATGGTATCATACCGTACCGCTTTATTTCGGTACGGTAACGGTATATGTTTCTAAATACTGCGGTATACCGGTATAATACCGTACCGATTCCATATTCAACATTTATTTTATATATTTTTTAAATATTGTAGAAGTCCACACAAATTTTCAAGCCCAAAATAAAATTCAAGTTGGTAATAAATACCAAAATACAAAAATTAAGGCAGCTGATTCCTTCCCTTGTGACATTTTCTTTTTGTAAATGAGTCCTTTAATCATTATTTGTAATTTGTAAACAAATTCCCATTCGGTACGGTACGGTAATACCGAAATTTTTCGGTATACCGAATCTTTGGTATGGTAAGGTATGAGTTTTTTGCCAAACCGATATTTCGGTATACCGAAACACGGTATACCGAAAGTCTCGGTACGGTATCGGTATAAGAATTTGTCATACCGCATTTTCGGTATGGGTTGAAATTTTCGGTATACCTTACCGATCAAGCCCTACCTATAGTTCCTGCCAGAGCTCGATGAACCCTCCAGTAACCATTGGTTTCCTCCTGTAGGACGCGTCTTCCCTCCGCTACCTGCTCTAAGATGAATTCTATACTTTTTCTCCACCACTAGGTCTTCTTCGTAGTTCAAGTGAAAGAATTTGTCTGAGTGTCCAATTAGCCCACATATAAAACAGAAGTTTGGCAATTTCTCATATTTGAAATCTACCCAGAAGCTTTTGTCATCCTTCTTCAGATTAGTACCTCTTCTCAGTGCTTTCTCCACATTCATACACACTCGTATACTCATATAGGCCTCCCACTTGTCACTACTCTGATCATCATCATATTTTATAAATTTTCCTATCAAATTTTCCTATTTAAAATAGCATAACATATCATAGTTAACATAACGTATACAACAATTTTAAAGAAATGTCTACTATCAACTACAGCCCGTTTGGTAACACTGAAATCGGCTAAATCGGCTGATTCTGCTGAAATTTATGAAGTTCTGACTGAAATGGTTGTATTGACTGTTTCTGCTGATTATGAAAAATTATATTTAAAATATATTATATTAATAAAATAAAGAAGAAATGATATGAAAAATAGATAAAATGGTCATCTACAACAACTGCAGTCAATACAGCCTGAAAAGTAACTTCAACCTTATTTTTCTTATTATTACATAATTCAGCGCGTAAAATCAAAAGTTACATGTTTGATTAAAAAGTTGGTTGATAAGCCTGATAAGCCGAAAACAGAGTCACTAAACGGGCACTAAAATTTTATAAAGTTAATGTCCTCTATCAACTAAAAATAATGGGCATGCATATGAGAAATCAAATTTAAAAAGCCTACATTTGAAAATTTCGATCCAATTACTTAGCATTATTTTATTTGGATTTTTATTTAAAATATATTCGTTAGCTTTGTTTCTATTTTAATTTAATACAATTACCAATTTATTTGTGTAACTTTAAGGACTTTGTTGTTGGGCTGATTTTAGTCTTAGATCAAATCACATCAAGCCAAACTATGCGATAATGGCTCAAGCGACTGAAACTGCTATATTAGGAAATAATGATATTTAAATTATACTTCATCCGTCTCTTTTTAGTTGTAACAGTCAGCATTTCACGTTTGCCAGCGCACAACTTTGACCGTCATTATATTTAATTCTGTTTTAGTAAAAATAAAATAAAAATCAGATTATAAGACTTAATAATGAGACGATTTAACAATATATTTCAAAAATAATTCACATACATTAATAAATAAAATGTAGTCAAAGTAAAGTATATGAATAATGTATTCCAATGTTGTAAATAATGTGATACGGAGGATAGTATGTTATAAGATATGAAAAAAAGTCATATGAAAAAGTGGCTAAGATGATGCTCTTACGGTAACTTCAGTCATCTCGCCGAAAAAATGATTTTAACTTGCTTATTTTAATTATTACAAATTCAGTGTGTGAATTCAAAAATTACGTGTTTCATGATGAAATTAGTTTATAAAACAGATAAGCTCAAATTTGGGGATACATACTGCCTTTATAATAGTATTTGCTATGAAAAAAATTGGGTATAGGTTGAGAAAATTAGATTTAGATTAAAAGTTGAGCTATAGACATGCATGATAACAATAGGTGTCCCAAGTTGTTCCATAATATTTTAATTATTACAAATTCAGTGCGTGAATTCAAAAATTACGTGTTTCATGATGAAATTAGTTTATAAAACAGATAAGCTCAAATTTGGGGATACATACTGCCTTTATAATAGTATTTGCTATGAAAAAAATTGGGTATAGGTTGAGAAAATTAGATTTAGATTAAAAGTTGAGCTATAGACATGCATGATAACAATAGGTGTCCCAAGTTGTTCCATAATATTTTAATTATTACAAATTCAGTGCGTGAATTCAAAAATTACGTGTTTCATGATGAAATTAGTTTATAAAACAGATAAGCTCAAATTTGGGGATACATACTGGCTTCATAATAGTATTTGTTATGAAAACAATTGTGTATAGGTTAAGAAAATTAGATTTAGATTAAAAGTTGGGCTATAGAGGTGCATGATAACAATAGGTGCCCCAAGTTGTTCCATAATATTTTAATTATTACAAATTCAATGCGTGAATTCAAAAATTACGTGTTTCATGATGAAATTAGTTTATAAAACAGATAAGCTCAAATTTGGGGATACATACTGGCTTCATAATAGTATTTGTTATGAAAACAATTGTGTATAGGTTAAGAAAATTAGATTTAGATTAAAAGTTGGGCTATAGAGATGCATGATAACAATAGGTGCCCCAAATTGTTCCATAAATTTATTTTCAAAAAAGTGGACTCCCAAGGAATCGATCCCTCAACCTCCCAAACATATAGAGCCTAAAGATTGGGCATCCAATCGTTGCTCAAGCTCCATATTTGTATTCTAAACTAGTTTCCATTGTATAAATACACTGATTACTTAATTTTATGTAAAATATATACAAATATATATAGGTATTTTTTGTAGGTCCATGGGGTCCCGGGACCCCGTGGGACCCTTAGTGGGTCCGCCACTGTGACTCCAGGCCATACCTAAATTAACCAGACTATAAGGCACATTATGAACCTGAATCCAAAAGTCTGCCTCATTCAGAATAATTTTGTGAGGTATATCATCAGGTTTAACCTCTTTTAATAACATCAATTTTTTCTCAGATTGACATGATCCTCCGTCCAAAACACGATTCATATCTAACTGATAATAAAAAGTAAAGAGATACCTTTTCTCCCCGACTTCTTTAACTGATGGGCCTTTCCCCGATCTCCATAGCGACGCTAACATCTCTTTGATTGCCAGGAAACGGACCTTCATCCTCCTTCGGCTCCTCCGCATCGTCTAGATCCAAGTCGTCCTCCTCCTCCTCCTCTAGAGCCATCCTTCTATACTTGTCCACTACACTTTCCATGCAAGCGAACCTTCTCCCTCAATCTTCCAGTAAAGCCGCTGGCTGAACTACTCCCGCAGTGAAGCAGTCCGACGAGCCTACTCGAAAGCTGAAAAAACAAATCCAAACGTAGCCCTCTGCAACCGTCCTAACCGACTAGAAAGCTGAAAAAACAAATCCAAACTTAGACTACCGACTCCTCGAGCACGAAGCTCGGAAAACGGGACCCTCGCTCCACACGACTCCCGCGCAAACGTAGCGGGATACTGGCAGCGACGGATTGGCCTAGGCGTTACCGGTGGGTAACTCTAGAGAGAGAGCGAAAAATATTTAATGTAGTTCCCAATTTGTACTTTTTAGAATGGTTACTTGGTTATATGAATATTAATTATACATTCATATTTGGAGCAATTAAACTTAATTAATGGACATAAAAATAAGGTAGAAAATATTAAAAACATTATAAAACAATAAATTAAGATAGAGATAAATAAGGTAAAAAGGATACGTTATAAAAATAAAGAAGAAACAAAGATAAAACATAAAAATAAAAGATAAAACGAGATCAATACTTCATAGGTATATTGTTCATCTACTTCGCTCTTTCCAACGTCAATCGTACTCTCATTAAATGTTCCAATTCAAGAAGTACCACATCATTCTTGATTCCTCCAATTCACATCTTTTAGGTAATTTTCTTCTTCATCTCTTTTCACAATCTCTTCACGCTTCTAATTGGTACATTACTCAATCTTCTATATATGCACAACAT